CCTGGGGGGGCCACCTGCCGCATTGGCCGTAGCCGCGGCTTTGATTCCACTCCTCGCTCTCACAGGCAGCCCTTGCGGACCTGCACAAATCTCTCTACAGCCCGGCCTGCGGCCTCGCTTCGGTTGGAGAGACAGAGGAAGCCAAAGGAGAATCACGCCTCTGAAATGCAGCCATCCCTTTCCTGTGCACGGATCTTCCTGGAGAGTGCTAGATGCCATGTGCCAGCGACCCCAGTTTGGTACCCATTCTGCTTGGTGGGGGGAGAACGACTTTGACTCTGGCTGTTAGCTCTTGCTGAAACCTAGTCTTCCATGTTTACTGCCAGGGTTGTAAGCTGTGCTTGCTTATAGCTCGCCTAGGTATGTCTCCCTATGCTGCAATCACCGCCTCACTTGCGCTGTAGATAGAGCCTGTTGGTGCTCCTGGAACACAAGCAACAGTATTATTGATCATTCATTTCAGGTGAATGTAGGAGCAAGTGATCTTACGGTTTCATCTGCCCTAGCCACTTGCTGTAAAAAAAAAAAAAAAAAAAAAAAGGGTTCAAGGCTAACAGACGCCTTTTGCAGGCTTTGTCAAGTCCCACAGTTAAGACTTCCAAAATTTACATAAGTGCAGAGGTAAAAAGGACCCACAACCTTCATTTACCTCAGGAGGATTGCAGGTGCTCAGTCCTGATGAAAAAATATCCTAAACTACAGTCAGATGCCTAAATATATTTCTGGGAGACAGATTGGAAGGTGGAAAGGAATCCTTATGGATCAATTTAGGGAGGTTCCTTGCCGACCACTTGTGGAAGATAGCACAATGATAAGAGCAAAAGGAGTCATAGATGGCATCATCAGTCAGGACATAAGGAAAAGATAATATAAGAGACAAGAATGTACATATAGGGAGAAGAGGTAGGAAAAGCCAGTTTGTTAACTTCCCTTCCCCTAACACAAAATCTTCATGCAATTCCTGTGCATTATGGTATTATCATGGTGAACGCAAGTCCTTTGCATTTGATGGGCAAGGTCATGGTCTCAAAAAGCATGTTGTAAAATTGGTGGTTCAGAAAAAGGCAATAAGTGTAATTAATGGCATAGAAAAGCTCAGCAGATGAGAGAATGAAAAGATTAAGATTGTTTAACAGCTTAAAAACGAGATGAATAAGAGCAGATATAAATGTGTGTTTTTTAAAAAATGCTTCAACCTGCCCTATACCATTTTGTATAATAATATACTATACATAAGTACAAGAACAAGATGACAGTTAATGAAATAAGTTGGTGAATTAAAAATGGACAAAAGCTTTTCATGCATGACATAACTAGACTGTAGAACTTGCTGCCACAGAATGCTGTTGTGGCCAAGAATTTAGTAAAACTCAAAATGGCAATAGATATTTATATAGATGACTAATAAATAGTGACAGAATTTTGAAGGAATATTAAATCTAATTATTCGGGTCTTAAATTAATCTCTATTAGAGATCAGGATGACACCCAGTGTCAGGGACAAATTATCCCACATCTGCCTACTGCAGGGTTTTTGTACCTTCCTCTGGAGCTCCTGGTGATGAACATTCCTGGAGACAGAATACGCTCAGGTCCAATCCTATTTGGCATTTTCTATGTTCCTATGCATAACAAACTATGTTTTCATCACTAGAAAATCTTAACTTAATTGAACAGAATCAGCTGCAAAAATACCTGCATGCTTGTGTGGCAGTAGCTGATTTGGGTTATAAAACTGTGCCCATTGCGGAACATAGCAAAAACACTATTGATCAAGAAGTTCATGCATTCTTCAAAGGCAAACGTTCTCAGGATTTATGATGTCAATAGAACATGTGCTGTCAAAAAGCTCTAAGTCATAGTGTCTGATAGCCAGTTCATATGTAAACATGAAAAGGTCACCATGAACATCTGAGCTGTTTGAATTGGTGGAAGCATTTGCCATAGTTTAATAGCCCGAGATAGTGTTTCATATGTAAAAATAAAAAATGCAAAGGACTATCAGATTTTCAAGGTGAAAAACTGGGACACACGGGGAGAGGGGAAGTTTTCAGGGTATGGTTTCAGTGTGGGGTGCATGAAGTAGAGAGAATGGAAGAGAAAAATCCCTGCCTGTAGAGATGTGTCTAGAATCAAACGTCATAAGGATCTGACTCTGAGGGCAAAAGGACAGTCCAGTCCATGGGAAGCTAAGGAAAGGTCAAGGTAGTGTCCTTATTGTACAAGAAAGTTCAGGATGGCTTTTGAGGTGCATAAATACTTGTTTGAGCTGCTGAAAATTGGCAGCAGGTTAATCTGGAGTTGGAGTCTTGTTGTGGTCAGTTTCCTGACAGTTATACAAAACAAGACAAAACACTTGCACGTAACAAGTAACTATTGTATGTAATAAAGCAGGAATATCTGTAAAGCAACACCATAGCTGGCTACTAACTAGGAAGAGAATAACATCCATCAAAATCTATTTAGTTTTTATGTTTAATTAGTTGTACTCACAATGCTGATAAGCAAGACTTACTTTTTGTTAGATGAAGTGAATGTTTAAAAGTTTAAGGTATGTATAAACACAACAGTGTATTATAATACTGAGGGAAGCCAATGTTTTAGCTAATACTGCAAACTCACATGCATTGCAAAACTATCCGTCGCTGAGAATTCTCTCTACATACAGAATTATTACCTGAGCAGTTATTCCTAGTTTGTCCTCCGTGTAAGGTAGCTGTCCTGCAAATACATCGTCGCTTGAGATGATGAATAATACAACACAGCTTTATCTAACAATTGAAAACATCTGAATGTTACAAAACCCTTTGGGCAATGAATAGAGATTGTCTAACACAGAAGCATGAAACCTCAGTCTGCTGACTTAATCCTTGAAACAGATATTAAATATCTGTACTCATTTGGAAATCAGTTTGCAGGACACAAACAGGGTTTGGTGGATTTTTTATTCCATTCATACTCTTATTTATTCTTTCCTATAAGGCAACTGCTTCTTGTTTCTAGACTGGCAGAATGACATTGTACAAAGACAGTCTGCTACAAACAGAGATACTCAAAATAAATATATCTGAGTATTTTCCATCCCTCGTCACTGTTCTAAGAATTAGAGCACTGTAGTCCCTGCCTTGAATTAAAATTTCAGTCTGATTTGTCAGAAAGATAGCCTCTCTTATTGCAGCTTCTTAATTTTAGTGGTAATCTTGGAAACAAAAATCAAAGAAGTTATCCACACCACTGAGCTTTCCTTGCTTTAAGGCCCAATCCTACTTCTATTAAGTCTATGGCACATTACCAGGGGTCTCAAACTCCCGGCCTGCAGGCCGTCCACAGACCAAAGCAAGTTTGCAGTCTGGGCCAGGAGGCCAGACAGCATGGGAAGGGGGGAGGGAGGGATGCCTGAACCACCCCTCCCCAAACCGCACCCCTTCCTGCTACTGCCCCACTATCTCTCTCATGGCACCCACTCTCCCAGGCAGGAGGGAGGATGCCTGGCTTGGAGAGAGAGCAAAGGGCATCAAAACCTACATGGATCATCAACAAAGATGTTCCTATAAATCCTGCAAAAATCAAAATCATCAACAAAGATGTTCCTATAAATCCTGCAAAAAATCAAAACATTGAAATTTTATGGTGAAATTACATTCAATGTGAACCAGAGACTTGATGGAAATACTCATTGACTGTGGTAACCTTTGGATGGAACCTCAAAACATTTAGGCCAAATTACCTCTTTCTGCACAAAGACAGGTGGAAAGAGAAAGTCCTGGTTTAAATCTTTCTGCTTGTTTTGCTAGTGATGGGAAAATCCAGCATTGTGACATTTCAGTTTTCTAAGTATGCAGTGAAGGTGAGTAATTTGAAGATGAAATTCTGCAAAGGAACATAAATCTCTCTGTAAAAAGATTTGTTGCAATTTTTACTTGGCTGAGCTTTCCTGGACAGACACAGAGGGTCACTTTTCTTTGCTTTATTCCATCTATCATCATGCCAATGTGTACATTTTTATTTATTTATTGTGATGCTGGAAAGCATCAGTAATATGCTGGAATAGTATCTTTATTCTGCAGAGTTTGAATATAATTTCCTAGCCAGTTGGAGTAATTTTCATTGTAACTGCTTCAGTTCTAGTTGCTTAGCATCATTCAGTTCTACCAACTACCAGTGTTTTAGAAAATAAAATCAAGTCAACATGATCTGAATTAACCTGAATGCTTATATAAACTACGTAAGTACTGTATTGCCAAAATTAAATTTGAGGGATTCAGCTAACACCACCAGCACTCTACATCTAGTCTTGTACATCACGGAGTTATAGTAGCCCATAGATTTACCAATACTAGTCGGTGTTTTTTAATTGTTACTTGATGCTTGGTTTTTAATTTTAGTTCTGAATAGTGGCTGATAAAACTTAACTCTTGTCACAAAATATTTTGATGGGAATAATCTGATTGGCCATAGGAAATAGTGTCAGACAATTGTAAGTCTCATCACAACCACTTATAAAGAATAAGGCTGACCTACACAGCCCATATCACAGCTAATGAGGGTGAACTAGCAGGATCATCAGACGGATTTGCCAAACCTTTCAAACCCTTTTCCACTGAGATTATTAGACGTGTAATCTACTGCATGTCCTAACCTCATTCTAATCAGCTCCTACTTTCTGCTTATCTAAAGGGCATGTCTACATTACCGGGATGATTGACTCTGTGGCAGTAAATTTTCCAGCATTCCATTTAGCGGATCTAGTGGGAACATGCTAAATTGAACACTGAGGGTACCCCCATCAATGCCGGTACTCCTTGCTGTCATGAGGAGTACGGGAAATCAATGGGAGCATGTGAGGAGAGTGCCCCAGCTCAGTTTAAGGTATATCAAATCCAGCTATGTTATTTACCCCCCTAAATCAACCTGCCCTAAAATGATTAATTGTTCACATTGGTTCAATTTTACTTTTAAGTATTGTATCAGTGGCAAATTCACCTATCATATCTTATTCTTCCACAAGTTTTGCAAAGCTTCTATTTTAAAAAGGTTTGTTCTGGTCAGTGAACCTTTTAAGTAATCGAGTTTTATATTATTGGTTATCACAAGGTTGTGGCAGCCATGTTGGTCCCAGGATATTAGAAGGACAAGGTGGGTTTCTACCAGGGCTCATGACAGACTTTACCAGGCTCTGGGAAAGGTGGTGAAGGGGCTTAGCTCCAGGCCTCCCCTGGGAGCTAGCTTCTCACACCTGGCCCTCAGTGTTACCTGGGCCACAAAGGGCTCTGGCAGTGATTTAAAGAGTCTGGGCTCCAACCGCTACTGCTTCTATGGTACTGGCTGTGGCTGCCTAGAGCCCCAGGCCCTTTTGATTTGCCAGGTCCCAGGCCAGCTGCTCTATTTGGCCCTCTGTCGGTTGCCATGGTTTTTACATTGACAATTTTCATCTTCTTACACTGCTCTACTTATCCTGAATTTGGTTGGTTACTGAATTCTCTTCAAGTGACGGTTGTGTACCCAACATTTATGTACTTGATTGTAATTGGCCATCATGCTTGCAACACAGTTATACATTTGTTTTCAAAATCAAATCCAGCTATTCTAAACAAAATTGTACCTTCCAAAAATAAATAAAAGAAAGGGACAAGCTCTTGAAACCAGAAGGTAATTCTGTACAGATTTATTTCTCCCAAAGAGGTTTCAAATCCACAGATTTTTCAGCCCCGATTATAACGATTTGCTTTTAAAAGCTGTTAGCCTCACATAAAAATGAACCTGAAAATTGAAGTGCTCCCTGCAGAACTAATAGGTGGAACTGAAAATGTGTTGCTATAAATGCTAGCTTGGAACATCAATATAATGACCTCATTTTATACCCTTTATATTTTTTCTCCCAGTGAACATGATTAGTGAAAGAGGTCTGCTTCCTCAGAAACAAACTGAAGATGTTGGAAGAAGCACATATCCTGGAACCCTTCACCATATAGTTGCAATCATATTAAAAATGAGATTGAGTTCAGTGTACAAGAAAAGAAATTACATCAGTTCCGCTGTGCTCACATTGGAGACACAAGTCACTGGAAAATCAGGGGAGAGAATTTAGAATGACTGAGCTTTTCTAACCAGAGATATGTAGTATTGTAGCTCTCCGTCTCCAGTGTCTTTAAAGGACAGTTAAGATTGAGAAATCTCTCATCATTTTGCCACTTCTTTGTTTGCTATTTTGGTTGGAAATGTCTGACGTAAG